TCCTATATTAAAAAAACTTATTGAGGAATTGACATCAATGATACCTGAAAATTCTGAAAAAACAATAGAAGTCAATGAAAGCATCAATAATTTTTTGTATCATTATAGCAAAATTATGCAGACTGAATCCAAAAGTGAGATAGCAAATAAGAAAGTCATTGAAAGTTATTTTAATTTTGGTGAAGTTATGAAAAGACGTTTCGATTATTATAAGAATCTGAAACATGGAGATCGAGCTTGCTTGGCTCTTGTTAATGACGAAATCCAGAAACAACTCCTCGATAATATCACCAATGATGCATTGAAAAAAAGAAAGAAGAGAGCAGGAAAAATATATGATTTATTTGTTAGTATTGGTAAAGAGAAAATAAGAGGTAGTAGATCATTTTCGGCGTCAAACATTTCGAACTTAAGTCAAGAAAAGAAACGTAGAATATGATCGTTATTGCGCCACATTACTGCGCCAGTGACATGGATGTCACGTCTGAATTTACAAAAATCCTTTAAGTATGAATGCGTGTAACGTAGATAGTATTTTTTATTCTTCTCACTCACGCTAATTTCACCAATAAAATTTCGCAAAAAATACTATATATAAGTAGCTATGTCTATCACACTTTGCTTAGCCTCGTTAAAGAGAATACAACCGCGAACGCCTTCCCTATTCATATTGATAAGGACCAGCTTGTTGGGGACCTCAAAAGGTTATTAAGGCGGAAAATATTCAAACTTTCTCTGGTGTTGACGCCAAAGACATCAAGCTATGGAAGGTGAAGATCCCTGACGATCAGGACGATCAGTTGAGCAATCTCACACTCAATAACGGAGACGAACTTCTGGCTACAAAAAAGATTTCGAAATACTTCCCTGACTCACCAGCCGAGGAACATATCCATGTCTTAGTCGAGCAACCCGTACCAACCACCACTTCAAGCCGTGAACAGGAATTACTTGACCGCATCGCATCGTTGGAGGAATCGCTTAACAAATCTGTCTATGATATGTATATGTATAAAAATTTCTTGGCAAAAAACCGTTTCCTCAGGAAACGATCAGACTATATTCAGAAAAAGAAGTTTTAACTCTGCCATTGCATTGTAGACTTCGACGTCGTCGTCCACCCGAAATGGAAGGCAAATAAGTGGACTGCAAATATCGAGCATGCGACTCTCGAAGGCCTCAAAGATTATATACGTAAGATGTATCAACCACCCGCACTTGAAAATGATGGGGCAGAACTCAATGAATGATGGAGAGAAATATTTCCCTCATAATGATCAAGACCTTCGTGAGATGCTCCGCATATTTGTATCAAAGAACAATCTCAAGTTTACCGTGTTCATAGAAACGCCCTCAAAAGCTTTCTCAGATTGGTCTTTCCCAAAAGTGTGTCAGCTTTACGAACTCTGTGAATCGGATGACCCATCATTGTCAGTATTCCCGCCTTTCACTTGCGAGTACAAAGACTTGGAAAATGATTCTCCCCGGGTAATACTTCGAAATCTTATAACCAAGCTGGAGGCTCGTCTCAAGTCCATTCCAATCAGTGGAAACGAAGCGTCAAAATCACAGTATGTTTGCACCTACCTTGTCGCTGGGGTAAATCTATATGAGGGCAAGTTCGAACTTCGACCAGAAAAAAATATCACAGGATCCTATGGGTATGGCCCAGTCGATTTTGCAATAGACTTACTCCAAACCACAAAAACGGTTGGCGTGACAGAAGTAAAGGATGAGGATTTTACAAGGGTATTGCTCAGAATGCTGTGCAACTTGAATCAGCTTTATCAAATCGTAAGCGTAAAGCAAGTGAGATGGAAGATGTTTTTACGGGAAAGACTTTTGGAATTATTACAGATGCAAAAGAATGGTATTTTATGGAATGTTCGTATAACGAGGGGAAGCCATCGTTTAAGCTATCAAAACCGGTTACCGTTGTGTACGATGATGAAGATTTGCAAGCTAAGGTGGGAAAGGTTCTCAGTCATATTGCATGGTTGTTGGAGGAGGCACAGAAGCCGGATTCTGATTCTCAAAGTGAAGAAAGGGTAATAAAAAAACATAGGTCATCGAGCAATCTTACCGGAAAGTCAGATAAATAGGTTTTAGCATAGAAAATTCGTCATGTATCGCGGGCTACGTCCCGAACAATTGTATTTATTTTTTGCATATATTAATAAAATGGTTTTACATTTGTCACGTAATATTGAATAATTCTTTCGTATATAAAAATATTATTTATCATGTCATCTGAACTTGAAGTATTAATCACTGAGCTTGAAGCTAAGAAAACTGATGAGAAAGCTAGGCTTGAAGCATTGAGACAGAGCTTCGCTGAGCTTGGGGCTAGAATTTAAAACTAGAGCAGGATCAGGCAGAAAGAGAATCTAAGAAAAATCGCAAATTCCAGACTAGATGCATCCAGATAGCTAAGGAAATTCTTAATGATGAGCCTATGATCGAATATCGCCCTTCTTTCTTGAATGGATTAGAGCTTGATGCTTTCTTCCAAAAACATCAAATTGCGTTGGAAGTACAAGGGGCTCAGCATCGTTTTCATAGCACTAGCTGGTATAAGGATGTTAAGAAACTCGAAGACATCGTTAATCGTGATCGGCAAAAAGATGCATGTGTCAAGATAATGGAATCTTCCTGCTTGAGGTATGGTACGATGAAAACCCAGAAATTGTCATCCCCAAAAGAATACAAAAAATTAAGAGTTTCATTGATCAAGCATCCAGAATTTTCGACTTATAGTCAATTCATAATGTATAACTTAATATCTAACCACAGACAAATGTTTAATATGTATATCTTATAACGCATATGCATTTTTTTATTCGTACTGTGAAGGCATAAAAGTAAATCATCACGTTTTTATAATGCTATCGGAATTTAATATGTAAAATACATAGAAATATGTCAATGTCTATAAAATTTAGATGCAAAAACATTCTTATTCCATAAGACTGATATAGAAATTTATATTGCCAACGTCCCCACCACGTTAATATACCGTATAGAAAAAAACTTAAATTGTTCCAATCTTGTTCTTTAGATTCTGTTAGACATAAAAATGTGCAATCAGTTAAACTGTTATATATCATACCGAGCATTCAATATATGTTTGAAATATTTACCATATTAAAGCGGATATTCATTAAAGAAATGAACTTTCGAATTTTCGCACTTTCATCTTTTGAAATAACTAAAGCTCGCCAAATATTTATAAATGCTTCTTTTTTATCTATCGCAAGTCGCACAATTTGATTTAAATGTTCTTTATTTTCTGGCTCAAGTTTGTTTACTATGTTTAGAGCGAAATCAATTAACTCTCCGAGTTCTTCATCGGTCATGTGCCTCTTTCTCTCTTGGATTTCATCCTCATTGTTTTCGTGTCTTCTCTTCATTGGTAAAACATATTGTTTCGTGAGTTCAGAACTCAGATTCCGTTTTATCACCAACAACGACTCAAATGCATCCTCGTCACCTATTATATTTCAATAGATAACACATAAATATTTAAAATACTGTATAAATGATATCTATTATAAAACTTACCAAGAC